GGGGTGAGTTAATAACACCGAGCATGTCTCCGGAAGCACACATCAATCAGATAACTGCTGCAGCATATGGGCGCCTGGCAAACCTGAGAACAGCATTCCGACACCTTAGTAAGGAATCATTCAAGACACTGTACACCGTGTATGTCAGGCCCATACTGGAGTATGCAGCACCTGTTTGGAACCCGCACTTGATAAAGCACGTCAAGAAACTAGAGAAAGTACAAAGGTTTGCAACAAGGTTAGTTCCAGAGCTAAGGGGAATGTCCTATGAAGAAAGATTAAGGGAAATCGGCCTGACGACACTGGAGGACAGGAGGGTCAGGGGAGACATGATAACGACATATAAAATACTGCGTGGAATAGACAAGGTGGACAAGGACAGGATGTTCCAGGAGGGACACAGAAACAAGAGGCCACAATTGGAAGTTGAAGACACAAATGAGTCAGAGAGATAGTAGGAAGTATTTCTTCAGTCATAGAGTTGTAAGGCAGTGGAATAGCCTAGAAAATGACGTAGTGGAGGCAGGAACCATACACAGTTTTAAGACGAGGTTTGATAAAGCTCATGGAGCGGGGAGAGAGAGGGTCTAGTAGCAACCGGTGAAGAGGCGGGGCCAGGAGCTAGGACTCGACCCCTGCAACCACAAATAGGTGAGTACAAATAGGTGAGTACACACACACACACACACACACACACACACACACACACACACTCACACTCATACACACAAACACACACACACACACACACACACACACACACACACACACACCACACACACACACACATGCACATATGTGGTAATGCTTTATTTACAGCTAGCAAAGTCAGGGTATTTCTCCAGAATGGTCTGTAATATACCACTGTGGATAAAATACTTAGCCATTTCTTGAACACTTCTGAGTGAGTTGTTTCTAAATTCATTAATTTTATCGCACTCCAGTACATAATGACGCAGGGTGTGACAATAATCCATCTGGCAAAGTTTACATTTCGTTTGGTCTACATCTGGTGGTGGTGATTTAAAACCCGCCCCCAAAAATACTTAAAACCCCGCCGGGGCCCCGGGGGGTAGTGAATCCAAGAGTCTGCTTATTTTGTTTTGGGTTTCACCAAGAAAATGGCTCCTCCGCATGATAGAATGATGGAAAAAAGATGGAATCTCTGGTGGGCCAAACTCCCCAAACCTTAAGGTTTCCCTAAAATTTAGCGAATTCTTTTTGTATTTTTGGGTTTGCAACCCACTTTCCTGACAAGCCAAGAAGTAAATTCTCCTCCCCCTTTGAAAGCATACAGCTTAGCCAATTTTTTCGGGTTTTAAAACTTTTCATCTGAAGACCAATGGAGATGGAATCCCCAGCATGGGCACCTGACTCCACTGGCCCCCAATCCACCATTCCTGTGTCTGGGTTCTGACACCAAACCGCCACAATTTAGCTTAATGATTGAAGCATTTAGGATGACAGAGAACAGTTACAAATAAACTGTCCCAAACCTTTTTATACATAGTGCATTTTTAGTGCAAGGGGTTTTTGGGAACATTTTTGTCTGAAGGGGGGAGGGCCCAATTATTGATGGGTGCCCCAAATTTTTCTAAAAGACCCTCCCCTCCGTAAGACAACAGCAGCACTACCAGCTTCCAAAACCCGTGGGTTTGGGGAACAGAACCAAACAAAGTAAATAATTTGCGAGAGTGTGTGCTGTGGGGACTAAGTTTTCAAAACAGCTTAAGGGCCCCATGTTGGCTTCAAAGGGGAAGTTTTTTTGGTTTTTGATTTAAGAAGTGTTTGGGGGGGAAATGGGAGGGAATGTTTGTTTTGGGAATTTGGGGAAAATTCCCTGGGCGGAGAATGCCCGGGTGTTGCCTTTCTTGACATAGATCATGTTTTCTGATTCCCTGCGGAAAGGTTTGGTTCCAGCTTTTCGAAACCATCTGGGGGAGTGTTTTAACCGTGCTGAGGAAAATTTTTGGGGGGCTTCTTGCAGGGGGGGGGGGGGGGGGGGGAATGGGGGGCTTCCCCCGAGCAATTAACCCCAATTTGATTTTTCTTTCAGTAACCCCGATCTCTGATCTTTGAAAAATCAAGTTTTTTTGCATATTTAAAATTTTGGCAGGACGAGGGGATCCTAGGGGTTTATCCCATCGTTTTTGGGGGGTGATGGGCCGGGGGAAAAATATTTAATGTTGCCGGGGGGGATGGCCCTACAATATTTTTTGCCCCGGGGGGAGGCCCACAATAAGGTTTGGGCCGGGGGGATGGGCCCTTAAATTTTTTTGTTTTCCAGGGGGATGGGCCCACAAAAATTTTTTGCCAGAGTGATGGCAATAAAAATATTATGTTGCCAGGGTGGGTGGCCCACAATATTAAATTTTCCAGAAATGAAGGCCCTACAATATTATGTTGGCCCAGGGGAGGCCCTACAAATTTTGTTGCCGGGGGATGGCCCTACAATATTATGTTCCAGGGGGGATGGCCCTACAATATTTTGTTCCAAAATGAAAGGGCCTACAACTTTTTGTTTCCAGAGTGATGGGCCCAAAAACATTAAAGTTTCCCAGGGGATGGCCCCACAACATTGTTTCCAGGGTGATGGGCCCCACAAAATTATGTTTTCCAGGGTATGGCCCTAAAAATATTAAGTTTCCAGGGTGATGGCCCCCACAATATTATGTTTCCAGGGGGATGGCCCTACAATAAATTTTTTTCCAGGGGGATTTGGGCCCCACAAATTGGGTTGGGGCCCGGGTGATGGCCTTACAATTTTTATGTTGCCCGGGTGATGGCAATACAAATTTTGTTGCCCGGGTATGGCCCCACAAAAATTATGTTGCCAGGGGGATGGCCCTACAAAATTTTAAGTTTTCCAGGGTGAAAAGCCCTACAATTTAAGTTTTCCAGGGTTTATGGGCCCCAAAAATTCCCGTTGCCAGAGTTATGGGCCCCACAATAAATTTTGTTTTGCCAGGGGGAGGCCCTACAATATTATGTTGCCCGGGTGATGGCCCTACAAAAAAATTTTGTTGCCAAGGGGGATGGTCTTTCAAATTTTGTTGCCAGGGTGATGGCAATACTATTTTTTTGCCAGGGTGATGGCCCTACAATATTTTGTTGCCAGGGGGGATGGCCCCACAATATTATGTTTTCCAGGGGGGATTTGCCCTACAATATTAAAGTTGCCAGGGGGATGGCCCTACAACATTTTGTTGCCAGAAATGATGGCCCTACAACATTGTTTTTCCAGAGTGGGTGGGCCCCACAACATTAGTTGCCAAGTGATGACCCAAAAAACATTATTTGCCAAAGTGAAAGACCCCACAAAATTATGTTTGCCGGTGTGATGGCCCTACAATAAATTTGTTGCCAGGGGGGTGGCCCTTTAAAAAATTATGTTGCCAGGGGATGGCAATACAATATTAGGTTGCCAGGGGGGGATGGCCCTACAATATTATGTTGGGCCCGGGTGATAGCCCTACAATATTATGTTGCCAGGGGGATGGCCCTACAATATTTTTGTTTTCCAGGGGGATGGCCCTACAATATTATGGTTTCCAGTGATGGGCCCTTTCAATATTTTTTTTGCCCGGGGGGAGGCCCTACAATATTATGTTTTTCCCGAGTGTGGCCCCCACAATTTTTATGTTTTCCAGGGGGATGACCCTACAATATTAAGTTGCCAGAGGATGGCCCCCACAAAAAATTGATTTCCAAGTGATTTGGGCCCCACAAAATTAAAAAGTTTTACAGGTGATGAACCCCCTACAATATTAGTGCCAGAGTGATGGCCCTGCAATGTTATTTTGCCCATAATGGCCCTTTCAATATTATTTGCCGAGTGTTTGGGCCCCAGTATATTTGTTCCGGGGAAAGGCCCAACAATATTATGTTTTCCCCGGGGGATGGCCCTACAGTAAATTATGCCAGGGGGAAGGGCCCTTTTTCAATAAAAAATTGCCCGGGGGGGAAATTTCCCAACAACAATTTTGGGTTTCCAGATGATGGCCCTAAATATTTTGTTGCGGGGGGGATGGGCCCCACAAATTTTGTTGCCGGGGGGGGGGGGGATTGGCCCCCAATATTATGTTTTCCCCGGGGGAAAGGCCCCCGCAATATTATGTTTGGGGTGATGGGCCCCACAAAAAATTATGTTGCCGGGGTGAGGGAAAACAATTTTTAAAGTTTGCCAGGGTGAGGCCCTACCCAAAATATGGTTTTCCGGGGGGTTTACCATAAAAATATTATGTTTTCCCCGGGGGCTGGCCCTACATTATTTTGTGGGCCCGGGGGATGGCCCTACAATATTATGGGTTTCCAAAGGGGTGGCAATACAATAAAATTTTGTTGCCAGGGTGATGGCCCCACAATATTTTTGTTGCAAAAGTGATGGGGCCCCACAATATTATGTTGCCAGGGTGATGGCCCTACAATTTTTTTGTTGCCCGGGTGGGTGGCCCCCACAATTTTATGTTGCCAGGGGATGGCCCCCACAAAATTATGTTTGGGGAGTGGGTGGGCCCCACAAAAATTATGTTGGGCCGGGTGATGGCCCTACAATAAAGTTGGGGCCCGGGGTGATGGCCCTACAATATTAGTTGCCAGGGAGGCCCTAAAATATTAATTTGCCAGGGTGAAAGGCCCTACAATATTAAAGTTTTCCAGGGATGGCCCTACAACATTAAGTTGCCAGGGGGGGATGGCCCTGCAATATTAAAGTTTTTCCCGGGGTGGGCCCCACAAAAAATTATGGGGCCAGGGGATGGCCCTTTCAAATTAAAGGGTTTCCCGGGTGATGGCCATACAATATTATGTTGCCAGGGTGATGGCCCTACAATATTATGTTGCCAGGGTGATGGCCCTACAACATTATGTTGCCAGAGTGATGGCCCTACAACATTATGTTGCCAGAGTGATGACCCTACAATATTATGTTGCCAGTGTGATGGCCCTACAATATTATGTTGCCAGAGTGATGGCCCTGCAATGTTATGTTGCCCCAGTAATGGCCATGCAATATTATGTTGCCGGAGTGATGGCCCTAGTATATTATGTTGCCAGGGTAATGGCCCTACAATATTATGTTGCCAGGGTGATGGCCCTACAGTATTATGATGCCAGGGTGATGGCCTTACAATAATATGTTGCCGGGTAATTGCCCAACAACATTATGTTGCCAGAGTGATGGCCCTACAATATTATGTTGCCTGGGTGATGGCCGTACAATATTATGTTGCCAGGGTGATGGCCTTTCAATATTATGTTGCCGGGGTGATGGCCCTACAGAATTATGATGCCAGGGTGATGGCCCTACAATATTATGTTGCCGGGGTGATGGCCCTACAATATTATGTTGCCTGGATAATGGCCCTACAATATTATGTTGCCAGGGTGATGCCTTCTCAGTATTGTTATATTGCCAGAGTGATGCCTTCACAATGCCGAGAAATACGGACTACACTCACCTCTGCAACTCACATGGACACCCTCATCATTGCTGCCTCGGCCGCAATTTGTGGCACCGTCATCCTTGCAGTTATGATGTTTATCTGCTGCAGCAGGAGGCAGAGTGTCCAACAGAGAAAGCAGGGCATACCAGCCATACTCAACCCATCGTCGCCGCCTCTGGCCTCTCTGGGTACTCTAGGCAGTGGAATAAACCCTGACTGGGACTCTGTCTCTATGTACTCCCAGAGGTCAATTCCTAGAGCCAAGATGTACCACATGGAGAAAGGTATTTCAAGCTTAAGCGTACTAGCGAATGAACACACACACACACACACAATGAGAATAACGTTCCGATACTTAATAAGGAATCGTTCAAGACACTGTACACTGTGTATGTTAGGCCCATACTGGAGTATGCAGCACCAGTCTGGAACCCACACCTGGTCAAGCACGTCAAGAAGTTAGAGAAAGTACAAAGGTTTGCAACAAGGCTGGTACCAGAGCTCAGGGGAATGTCGTACGAGGAAATGTTGAGGGAAATCGGACTGACGACATTGGAGGACAGAAGGGTCAGGGGAGACATGATAACGACATACAAGATACTGCGGGGAATAGACAAGGTGGACAGAGATAGGATGTTCCAGAGAGGGGACACAGAAACAAGGGGTCACAACTGGAAGCTGAAGACTCAGACGAGTCATAGGGACGTAAGGAAGTATTTCTTCAGTCATAGAGTCGTCAAGAAGTGGAATAGCCTAGCAAGTGAAGTAGTGGAAGCAGGAACCATACATAGTTTTAAGAAGAGGTATGACAAAGCGCTCGGGAAGCAGAGAGGGAGAGGACCTAGAAGTGATCAGTGAAGAGGCAGGGCCAGGAGCTGAGTCTCGACCCCTGCAACCACAATTAGGTGAATTAGGTGAGTACACACACACACACACACACACACACAGACACATAGGCTTCTCTCTCCATCTCTCCATTTCTCTCTCTCATAGCCTTTTCCCTCGCCCTCCTTTCTCCCTCTCTCTCTCTTTCTCTCCCTCTCCCTCTCCCTCTCTTTCTCCCTCTCTCTACCCTTTCTCTCCCCCCTCACATTTCTCTCTCTCCCCCTTGGTCTTATCCCTCACCCCCATACTCTCTCCTCTCTCTCCCTCTTTCTACCCTTTCTCTCTCCTCTCTCTCCCTCTTTCTACCCTTTCTCTCTCCTCTCTCTCCCTCTTTCTACCCTTTCTCTCTCCCCCACACCCTCTCCCTCCTCTAGCCTTCTGTCTGTGGTAATAAAAAAAAAAAAAAAAAAAAAAAATGGGTGGCCTTAGAGGACGGAAAACCAGAGATCTGGTAGACGAACCAGGGAGGAAAGACTGGGAGTTAGAGCTCCAAAAAAGGGAGGAAGAGTGGGGAAGGAAGATAGTAGAGCTTGGTAAGAAAATGGAGGAGCGGATGCTGAAGAGGTGCAGGAAGTGGGAAGTACAGGTCTTAGCAGCAGAAGCTAGGATACAGTGCTTAGAAGAGAAACTGCAAAGCCTGAAACAGATTAGAGAGACAAATGACAATTCAGATGTGACATCAGGAAATTCAAAGTCAGGCGCAGACAAGGGGGTGGTAAAACAAAACGGAGACATGCCGTACACGAAGGCCCTATCAGACCCACGTGGGGCCAGGGAAAAGACAATGAGCACACTAAGATCAAACGACAGGTCCGAAGACAATGAAGGTTTGCTATATGCAGAGATTCTAACAGCCAATGCAGTAGCAAGGGACAGCTGGTCAGGAAAGACAGTTCACTGAGAATAGAAGTTTCAGATATGACAGGGGCTGAAGGCAAGAACATGTCAATGGAAGGAAATAAAATGCCTCAGAGGAAGCAGATGGAGACTCAGTGGGAGGAGGAAAGGGCGAGGTCAGTTTTTGTGTACGGGCTCCAAGAAGCCAAGGGGGCCAACTTTGAAGAAATAAAACAGGAGGAAAAAAAATGATTGAAGGCATCATGAAAACAATAGGGGAGGGCAATATGACCCAGGTGACAAATTTTCAGAGAATTGGGTGGTTTGCGAGTGGAAGGATACGGCCTGTCAGAGTAACTTTCAAGGAAGAGAATCAGTTCGAAGCAGGATTCTGCAAGAGAAAGCAAGACTGAGGGACAAGAGGGGTACCAGAGAGTATACCTCGACTGGACAGAACACAAGAAGAAAGGACTACACTGAAAGAGAGGGTACAGAGACGCAAGGAGGAACGAGAAGCAATGAAAATGAGCAGGACCCAGACACAGGAGGAAGGCAAACACACCCCACAGAATCTCCCACCAAAAGACTCCACCCGCGACATTCCCAACGCAACTGAGCAACCTATACTACAACCCACTCACTGTTCCCTCTGCCACCAACCCCCATATCACAAACCTCACCCCAACAGCTGTCCCTTATGGGCATTCTGACCCCACCCCCCATCAACACAAACCCCACCTACACCACAGCCCCATATAGGCCCCCACCAAGGCTCTCGCCCCCCCAACCCCAATATTCTTGCATGACCACAATGATAGAAAAGAAACTAAGGTTTGGTACACAAACGCGGATGGAATAACGAATAAACATGAGGAGTGGAATGAAAGAATCAGTGAAAAATCCCCAGACATCATAGCAGTCACAGAAACAAAACTCGCTGAGACAATAACAGACACAATCTTCCCAACAGGATATCAGATCCTGAGGAAAGATAGAAGGAGTAGAGGGGGAGGAGGGGTTGCACACTGCTCATAAAAACACCAATGGGGATTTGAGAAAGGAAGAAGGCATGGACATGATTGAAGAAAGAGACTACATTGTAGGTACAATTCAGTCCGGAGAACATAAAGTAGTCATTGGAGTGATTGTATAACCCACCACAGAACTGCAGGAGGCCAAGAGAGGAGTACGAAGAAAACAACAGGGTGATGGTGGACACACTGGCTGAGGTGGCAAGGAGAGCTCACTCGAGCAGAGCAAAGTTACTGGTAATGGGCGATTTCAACTACAGGGAGATCGACTGGGAAAACCTGGAGCCACATGGGGGTCCCGAAACATGGAGAGCCAAGATGATGGATGTGGTACTTGAAAACCTCATGCATCAACATGTCAGGGACACAACCAGAGAGAGAGGAGAGGATGAGCCAGCAAGACTGGATCTTGTGTTCACCCTGAGCAGTTCAGACATTGAGGACATCACTTACGAGAGGCCCCTTGGAGCTAGCGATCATGTGGTTCTGAGTTTTGACTATATAGTAGAGTTACAAGTGGAGAAGGTAACAGGAACTGAAGGGGACAGGCCCAACTATAAAAGGGGGGACTACACAGGTATGAGAAACTTCCTGCAGGAGGTTCAGTGGGGACAGAGAAATGGTAGGAAAATCAGTAAACGAGATGATGGAATATGTGGCAACAAAGTGCAAGGAGGCAGAGGAAATGTTTTGTTCCCAAGGGAAACAGAAATAATAGGAAGACCAAAACGAGTCCTTGGTTTACCCGAAGGTGTAGGGAGGCAAAAACTAAGTGCAACAGAGAATGGAAAAGGTACAGGAGACATAGGACCAGGAAAACAAGGAGATTAGTAGAAGAGCCAGAAACGAGTATGCACAGATAAGGAGGGAGGCCCAGCGACAGTATGAAAACGACATAGCATCGAAAGTCAAATCTGACCCGAAACTGCTGTATAGCCACATTAGGAGGAAGACAACAGTCAAGGACCAGGTGATAAGGCTGAGGAAAGAAGTGGAGAACTCACAAGAAACGATCGAGAGGTATGTGAGGAGCTCAACACGAGATTTAAGGAAGTATTTACAGTAGAGACAGGAAGGACTCTGGGGGGACAGACCACATGGGGACACCAGCAAGGAATACACCAACAAGTGTTGGACGACATACATACAGATGAGGAGGAGGTGGAAGAAACTGCTAAGGGACATCGATACCTCAAAGGCAATGGGACCGGCAAATCTCTCTGTGGGTCCTTAGAGAGGGGCAGATATGTTGTCATGCCCTTACCCAATCTTAACAATCCCTGGAAACTGGGCAACTACCTGAGGTATGGAAGACGGCAAATGTAGTTCCCCTTTTCAAAAAAGGAGACAGAAAAGAGGCACCTAAACTATGACCTGTGTCTTACGTATATAGTATGCAAAATTATGGAGAAAGATTATCAGGAGGAGAGTGGTGGAGCACCTAACGGAACAGAGTATAAATGCCAACCAGCAGGGATTCCGGAAGGCAAATCCTGTGTAAAAAAACCTTTCGGGATTTTATATAAAAAAACAGAAAAAACAAGAGAGAGGGGGGGGTTTATTGCATCTTCTTGGACTGCAAGAAGGTTTTTTACACAGTTCCTCAAAAAATTAGTGCAAAACAGAGCATGGGGCGATATAACGGGAAGGGCACTGCAATGATCAGAAATCCCCTGCAGGGAGGCAACAACGGTCAGGGTCTAATGATGTATCACAGTGGCACCTTGACGGCGGGGTCCCCAGGGGTCGGTCCTGGGCCAGTCTATTTTTGGTATATTAAACAAATGACGGAAGGGGGTTAGACTCAAAAGTGTCCCTTTTGGATGTGTGAATTAAGAGGAGAATTAAATCTGATGGGACCAGGCAGGATTTCAAAAAACCCTGGACAACTGGACACCGGGCCCAGCAAATGGCTTTTTCAAATTTAATCCTGCCAAAGCAAAGTAGAAGATAGGGGAAGGGCCAAAAACCCACAGACAGAGTATGGGGCAGGGGCCCAAAAACTGAAAAACCTCCCAAAGGAAAAGATCTTGGGGTGGTAAAACACCGAGCATGTCCCCGGAAGCACCTAAATCGAAAGGGGCTGCAGATAGGGCGCCTGGCAAACCTGAGAACAGCACCCCGATCCCTTTAGTAAGGAACTTTTCAAGCCCCGTCCCAAACCGGATGCCGGGCCCTTTACTGGAGATGAGCCCCCGTTTGGAACCCCACTTGAAAAGCACGTCAAAAACTAGAGAAAGTAAAAAGGGTTTTGCGAAAAGGTTAGTTCCAGGCAAAGGGGGAAATTTCCCTAAAGAAAGTTTAAAGGGGAAATCGGCCTGACGACACTGGAGGACAGGAGGTCGGGGAACATAAAACGACAAAAAAAATACTGCTGGAATAGAAAGGGGGGACAAGACAGGTTTTTCCAGGGAGGGACACAAAAACCAAGGGGCCCACGATTGGAAGTTGAAGACCAAATGAGTCAGAGAGACAGTGGGAAGTATTTCTTCAGTCATAGATTTGAAAGGCAGGGGAAATCCTAGAAAATG